AAAGGCGAATATAATTTCCACGATGATTTTACTAATCTGCATATATTCCATTTGCAATGATAAAGTTTTAATTAAAAATTTTACATAAGTAAATCATATTTTCTTTTTAGTCTAAGTGCTATTTATGGTGGAACATATATGCTTGATAAATCAGTTGATGAAATTGTCTATGAAAATGGTGTTGTTGTTGGTGTTCGATCAGGTGATCAAACAGCTCGTTGTAAAGCTGTTATATGTGATCCATCATATGCACAAGATAAAGTTAAAAAAGTTGGTCGAGTTATTCGAGCTATTTGTCTTTTACGACATCCTGTTAATGTTGGATCGAATACATCACCAGGTTCAATTCAAATAATTATACCACAAAAACAAGTGCAACGTCATAATGGTAAAAGATAAAAAACAATTTTCGTTTTTTTTTTCTTAATATTCTTGTTTTTTTTTTTGTTTTAGATATTTATGTTTGTTGTATGGGTCAAACAAATATGGTTACGCCAAAAGATTGGTATGTTGCATTAGTTAGTACAACAGTTGAAACAGATAATCCTGAAAATGAAATAAAACCTGGTCTTGCTTTACTTGAACCAATTTATCAAAAATTTGTTACTGTTAATGATTTATATGAACCAATTGATGATGGAACAACAAGCAAAGTAAAAGAAAAAAACTATTTTTGTTTTGTTTTTGCTCTAATCAAATTCTTTGTTTGTTTTTTTGTTAGCTTTTTATTACAAGTTCATATGATGCAACAACACATTTCGAATCAACTTGTCTTGATATTCTTGATGTTTATCGTCGTTATATGGGTGAACCATTTGATTTTAGTAAAGTTACACGTGGTTTAGAAGCTGAAGAGAATCAAGATGAAGCACATTAAGTCTTTTCTTTTTTTGTTTCTTCGGTTTGTATTGACAATAACTTCTTTTCTTATTCTCTTAATGTTGTTCTTTGCTTTTTTTTTCTATCAATGTTATTATATACATTTCCATTAGATCATATTTTAATTCTCTTGTGATTAGCATTCCATATAAGATTATAAATTTTTTTTTTTCTGTATTAGATCAATTCATTATGGTTGCGCGGCATTGCATTTGACTTAAATATTTTTTTTTTTTTGTTTATTATTATTATTACCATTTCATGAGAATTTATGTTTATTAAGAAACAAATGAATTAAGTCACATATTTATTCATCTTTTTATTTGTAATCAATGTATTTGTCTGTTCAATGTATTTGATGATGGAATAAAATTCACTTAGATTGAAAAAAATCAATGTTATATGAAATTGATATTTTGATAAACGAATGAAAAATAAGTGTTAGCTTATTATAATTTGACAGATAATTGATTTTTTTTAAGTATTGGATTGTAAGATAAGTACTGAGAATTTTTTTTTTCTGTACAACAAAAAATTTATTTTTTGACAAAGATATGCATTACTACTCTTGAAAATTTGGTCTATTTGTATTAATGTTATATCATCTATTGAACTTCTTTTAATTTCTTCTTGTTGCTTTCTTCAGTAACAACTAAAAATTATCTATGAAAGTCTTTATATATATGTTTCTTACATGATAATAGATACAATTTCTTTAGTGAGATCAACAATAATACTTAATAGAAGTGTTTGCTCAAATTATCTATATAAAAAAAAAATTTGAATAGAATTCTGTCACTACCCAAAAAATCAGCCTATTTGATTGAACCAAAGTTGAGATATTTGAATTTTTTTATCATAATGCTATTTATGAGACACCCTGTCTATGAAATAACCAAATTTTTGGCTCAGACAAAGAATCAATTCTAAAGGGTGGCCAGATTAAATGAGCCACTTTTGTCCTCTCATTTTATCTTCCTTAATTTTATTCTAAAAGACTCGTTTAGTATTCAACAGGTAGAGAATTTTCTGCTCTGCACAATGGTATAACTTTTGTTCACAAAATCTTGGTCTTTTAGATTAAAAAGGATAAAACTAAAAGAAGTTCAAAATTTTGTACTGCACGTTTATATCGAAAAATATCCTAATCGGCAAATTTTGATTATACTCAGTAATAGTTGGCTAAACACTTTCTTATTTCAAAATCAAGTATGCAACGGTTGATTAGACATAGTATTAGATGCAATCATCTGTTAAAGTTATTGTTCTAAAACTTACAATAGTGCAACAACAACAACAAAAGATTATTATTTGGGAATTGAGTGAGAAAGGGAGCGTTGCAACTCGTTATGTGGAGGGTTATCGTAACGAAAAAAACAGAGCTTTCGTAACACAGAAAATAGCGATAGCCGAAAAAACAGGGATATCGTAACAATTGCCGAGTTTTCGCAATGAAGCGACAGGGATTTCGTAACGAATTTTACAGGAAAGATATAACTGTCCATATAGAGTTGTCGTACCATAAAAGTAGTGTGTGTTTGGGTTAGATATGCGACGTTATCGTAACGAAAGATCAGGACTGTCGTAACCAATCGTCTTGTTCCTCTATATTGTCACTCATATTTCTTCAGTAAAGTATAGTACGACGATCCTTAAAATTCATTACGAAATCGCTGTAATTGAGGTGTTGATGTTCTAAAATGGTACATATCATAACACCGGTTACAATCACCCTGTAAAATTCGCTACGATAACCCTGATTTGTATTGTTATGAAACCTCTGCAATTGATTAAATCACGGATTTCGTATCTGCCATTCTTTACGAAAACCCTACACAAAACATGTAACGAGTTCAGGGATGCCACCTCATGAAGTTGAAAAAGCGGAAAAAAGTGGAAACTTATCTCGTTGCGGATTTTTAGCATTTATGAGGATTTTCAACTTTTTCATATCTATAGCATTCTGTTTTTATTTTAACAAAATTGCAAAACATAAAATATTGTTGAAATGAATAAGAATGACTATGCTTCACTCCATGGTATACAAAAGTACCTTCTGCAGCTGCTGTTTCTTCAACCTCCTTATTAGATTTCATAGTTGATGTTATCAATTGTCGATTTATACCGAATGATTTTATGTTGTTGTTGTTGTTGTGTCTTTTCAACTTTATGTGACGATCAATATCATTTTTTCCACCATCACATACTGAAAAATGTTCGTTAGAGGCAATACAAAGAACTTTAGCTGAATCTGGTTTATACTGTCGTAAAAATGATGCGAACTGAGGATTAAGTAGCCATTGTGAATTAAACATGCCTTTTTTTTATCTTTTGATAAGCACCTAGTATGGCTTCAATATTTTTATTTTCATTTGATCTCAGAATTGGTGATCTTGTTATTAATTGTTCACGATCGGTTTCATCATTTGCAATCCAAATATCTTTAGATCATAAAAAACGTTTAAATTTTCGGATTGGAAATTTTTTTTGGGTAAATACAGAAAGCAAAATAATTTGAAAAGAAGTTAACTATCAGTTGAGAGCAGAATGATGTTTTTAATTCACGAACAGGCAATTAGTATGCAAGCCTTTTAACATAGAAAAACTTTATGTGTTCGTTCATTGATTTTATGGATGACATAATAAGAATGATGATTAACTGGATGCGTAAACAGTAAGACTTTCCTCGACAATAATAAGATTTGCTCTGAACATATTTTGAAAATACATCACCTTTTTATATAAAAAAGCGGAATAGCGGAAAAAAGGTGAAAAAGCGGAAGAGGTGGCATCCCTGATTATTCCGTCAATACACAAATGATTTTTATCTTTGTATATATATATAGATTCGACACTCAAGAATATATTATTTCATTGAATGTATGATATAATTTCTCTTGAAACTCAAATTTGATCACAGCTAGAAAAAATATACTGTACAACAGATATTATATGAATGAAATTCAATTAGCTGAATTGTATAATAAACATTTCTTTTTTTTTATTTTCTTAATGTGATGTCTTCTTTCAATTTCATACAGTGAACATAAGGGAGCCAGCCTGTAAATACGAAAAACTGACGGAAGAAAAAGAAAAAAACATTCAATGACTATGACCCTAATGGATGATTCATCGAGATTACACTTTTCAATGAAGTTGCCTATCCTATTTCACAATGATGAAAGCGGTTAGAAGCAAACAATGAACATATATATATATATATTTACCTTTCACACAAGTCAAGCAGTCAGAATTCAATATGAATCGATCTGATGTTCATCTTCTTGATCTATCCAATGAGATATTACTTATTATTTTGAAGAAACTAAACAATATTGATGTTCTTTATTCATTATTGAACATTAATAATGAACGACTTAACATTCTGGCACACGAAAAAATTTTCAGTACTACTCTTACTTTTGTATCCATGGATAATATTTCCTCAATTGATCCGCGTAAACTTGGTCGATTTTGCATCGATATATTGCCAAGGATTCATCACAATGTGAAATGTTTATTTCTTGAACCAGTGTCGATGGAACGTATTCTTCTTTCTACGAACTATCCAAAATTAACTAAACTCAAACTTTTTAATTTCAAGCAAGAAATTGCTTTACGTTATTTTACAAGTAAGCGCCTAGCATACACATCATTACCTAAAAAATAACAATAATGATGTTAAATAGAACAGACTAATTTTTCTTTTTTTAGATGAATCACCTCTTCGATATATCTTTCGACATCAAATTACAGATCTTATTCTTGAAACTATTGACCAAAGGAGTATAATAGAATCATCGGAAGATTACATTAAAAATGTATATGCACATATTCTGAATTTCTGCAAAAATTTAAAACAGTTGAGTGTTATTGGAACATTCATCCCAGCATATTCACGCCTCCCACTTAGCAATTTACTATACGTTCCGTCATATCCAGGCTTGTCACTTACTGATTTGCCATGGATTACTTTCTTCTCTTTGACTCTTACTCATTTATGCATCAATGTGTACACCTTAGATGATTGTCTTTGTTTACTTGATGGTCGACTCAAACAATTAACAACACTTATTGTTGAAATATATTACATGAATAACTCTTCATCAATCGTTCACAACATGGTAAGTTTTAATAAATAATATCGATTGTAAGATGAAGCTGACTACCAATTCTGTACATTTTGATTTATTTAAAAAAATATTCAGAAAAAACTGAATGATTGAAGTTTATTCGGAAATTTCAACACAACCTATAAAATTGTATTAATCGTCAATAATAGACAATGGATCTTTTGACGAAAATCAGAAAGAATTAAAACTAAGTAGTTTGCTAGTCAACTGTACGCATGATTTATTTTTAGATCAATTAAATAATATATTTTTCAATTTCTTTTTATTATGTAGAATGACTTACCTAATTTGAAATGTTTTTCATTAAAATGTTATCATTCAATTGATCAATATGATGATAAAATTCTACTTCTCCTGCATCGCATGTCATGTCTGGAAAAATTAACTTTATATCTTCGTATAAACAATCGAAATACGTTCATTGATGATGCTCATCTTCAAAATGAATTTTTTCTTTATATGCCACGACTTCATTCATTCACTTTTTATATTTGTACTTATATCAACAATGTTAATTCGATTCATTATTTACCTTACGAAAATATTCGACAACATGTGGCTAAGATCGTCAATTATATCAATACTCACAAAGTTGTGTGTTCGATTTTCTCACTTCCTTTTGCATTCGATCGTCTCGAAGCTATTGGTAATATATTTCCAAAAACCGTATTCAAATATGTTACATATTTATTGGTAGAAGATATAGTTCCATTCAACCATGAATTCTTCATTCGGGTTGGTCGAGCTTTTCCATTACTGAATATTTTTCGTGTTATAAATGAAGAATCACAATCATGTTGTAATCTTAACACATTTTCATCTGATAATAATCGATCGAATCCAATTGCTGAATATCCTCATCTTACTGTGCTTGATCTGAGAAATGCACATTTTGATTACGTTGAACAATTTCTAAATGAAACAAAGACATATCTACCTTGTTTAACTGAATTAACAGTCTTTTATACTAACTTAAGAATTGCAACAAAAAATTTCACAAGAGAAGAAACACGACGCAATTGTGCAAAGGTGAAACAATTATTTATGGTTATACCATTAGTACATTCAAAAGATTTCTATCTTTACTTTCCTTCACTATAGATGGACCTTTGTTATGATTTGTTTAATAAACTGAAAAGCTAAATAAATCTTATATTTTGGACAACGACATTAATAAAATATAGAGAAATGTCAATTATTAACAATTATTTCATAAAAAAATGAAAGTTTTATGAAAAATCATTCGAGTATTTACTAATTATGTTGCACTAATAAGTAACTATATAATGATGATGATATTTGAAGATAGAATTATAGAAAATATTCTGTATTAAGTTCTAAGAATAAAAGTATTGTTTCATTCATATCTTTACGCGTCTTAAATATTAGCAAGATCCTCAACAATTATTTATGTACCGTAGATAACTGTATTATATTGAACAAAGTTTCGATGATGATCATCGAGATATTGTTTGTTTCTCTATGAGAAGGATCGATGGGAATTGATTGAATATCTTGAAATTTCTTTTTTATTTTATACAACAACATCCTGTTATATTAACTGAAATGATTGATTGTCATTTACGATTTGATATAGAACATCATATAGCTCTTTGTAAAGATGATGAAGAAAGAAATTTATTTTAAATGATGGTGGCTAACAAAAAAGATGCTGGTGGTTAAAAAAAATAATGCTGGTTAACAAAAAAAGTGTTATTAATAAAATGTTTTTTTTTAAATAATTTTGTCTGCATTTTTTATGAGCATCATATTGATGATGATGTGTAGTATTTGCTAAATTACCAGCTGATTCATCATGATCATGGATCGCATTTTCTTTATTTTTATCCAATCGTTTTATTTTCGAATCTAGAAAAAAAAAGATAACTTTTTATACTCATTAGATATTTTTACCTTTTTCAGATTGAAGTAGTGTAAGAAATGCTTCTTGACCTGATTGTATAATAATTAATCCTGCAATTTCTTCAGTTTTTTGTTCAGCTATTGTTTCATCAATTGTTTTGTTTTTTAAATCTTCATCTAATTTTTTTTGTTTTTCGTTCATTTTTTTTTTTGGCGACTTTCAATTGAATCTTTTTGTCGTAAGATCTAAAAATACCTGTTTTTCAATAACATAATCTTAAAGGAGTGTTGTAGTATAGGAATAGAAACTTGGACCCATCACGTATTTGCTATCGACACAGACCGTGACAGACATCATCATATTTTCTCTGTTATAGTTTTAAGAATTAGATTACCTCTTTCTCGATCTCGACCAATGATTCCAAGATTGCCTAAATATAAGAAACCAATTTTCTGATGTATGTTCAAATTGCCATACCTGTGTTAGAGAAATTTTTTGTGCCATATTATTTTTCAACAACGAGCACAATATGTAAATAATATAGCTGATACAGTTATTTAAATAATAATAAACTGTTAAAACGATCTTAACGATTAGACTATAATTCACAACGTAAATAAATTTGTTAAACGTTGATATGCACATGTTATTTTAAAACGAGAATATTTATATTATGAAAATGGAGGAGAGAGAAAAGAAGAGGAAGGATAGACGACGGATAATAGAAAAAAGAAACAACACAAAGAAAAAAATTACCATTATGTGTGACTAGCAGACGAATATAGTATCTATTCATTTATAACTAGATTTTATTGACTGCACTTTCTTGTCTTGATAGTATGACATGAAAAGTTTACAGGTCAGTTTTGTTTATATATTTTTTTTTTATTAGAAGTAAATCGTAGACGCACTCTATAAAAGAGCTGTATTAATGGAAATGAAAAAATCAAATTTTATTCTACTAATGATTGAGTTAGTACTGCAATCGGTGAGAGTTTGGTGGAAAACGCCGAAAAAAAAAGTTGTTTTTTTTCATTATCAAAAATCATTATAGCTGTTAATAATAATAAGTGATCAGTAAATAAATTAAACAGCTGTATAATGTTTCAATGTGACAATTTCCCACGAATTTTGTAATATAAACAGGGTTGCCACCTTTTGAAGTTCAAAAAGCAGAAAATAGCCTACAAAAAGCAGAAAATGGCAGAAGTTTTATTGTGAAAAAGCAAAAAAAAAAGCAGAAAGTGTGTTTCTGCTGCGAAACAATCTTTTAAGCTTTGACTTAATGAAATCACAAAGAATTTCACACCAATTTCCAAACTTGATTGTACAAAATCAAGAAAAAACCTAGTTAAACACAAAAATAGAATTATTGGATTCGTTTTCTTTTGAATGTGAATTTTACATCTGATTTAATAGCTTTCAAAAAATCTTCGTTGCACAATATATGTTTATACAGCACTCGCAAAAAGTTTCAGGATACTCGAAAAAAGTTCTCCAACACTTTATGTTTAAGTTGAATCTGAAAAAAAGCATATGTTTGGCACTATTATTAACCAAAGTTTCATATCTTATTGAGCAAATGAATCTTCGTAATTTGAGACCAAGAGAAAAGTATCAAACATCAAATATCCAATGGCTAAAAGTTCTAACAAATCTCGTTGTTTTCACCTATTGACTTTCCTTCACTTTCAAATACTATAAGTGGAAAGAGTTTGAAAAGCTGACTACAGTACATATGTATTCGTTTAACATATTATAGTAGTCAGATGTTTTTCGTAATGAGGTTTTCCGCTACAAAAATGCTAAAAATGTACCGTGAAAGAGGACAAATCATGTCGTAATTTTTGCTTGTTTTGAAGAGCAGAATAAATTCGACAAAATAACTCATTTATTGGACTCTCAAGTATCAAAGAAATGCACTGGATGATAGAGAAAAACAAAAGTCTATCCTACTGTTTTTTTTTCACGTAAAAATAGCTAAAATATTTTAAAATTTTGGATTTCTATTTTATCTAGGTTATGGTACATTGTTTAATGTAACACAAAGTCCAAAAATGTATAATTTTGCTATATTTATCTTGCTCTTCTACACAAGCAGAAAAGATATAATGTCTCCTATTTCACAGTAGTTTTTTAACAGTTTCTTTTAGATCGCTAGCATTTTTACAGCGGTAAACCCCGTTAAGAAAAACATCAGCCTACTATAATTTACAATATGAAAACATCTATGATAGTCAGTCTTTCAAGCTTTTTCCATTGACACTGTCTGGAATCGAAGAAAAGTTAACGGGTGAATAAAAAGATACTTGTTCAAGAACTTTCTGTCGTTGGATGCTTTATTTTTGATACTATTTTTGTGACATCAAATAGCAATCATTCGTTTGGTCACTAAAATATGGCATGTTGCTCAAGAATAATGCCAAACATATTCTTTACTTTCACAGTCAACTTAAATTTAAAGTATTTGGAAACTGTTGTCGATTGTCTCAGAACTATTTGGTAGGGTTGTAGATTGACAGTTTTTTGCAGTCAGCGAGAAACAAGAATTTTTCTTCACATTTTGGAAAACTGATACAATATAATATAAAGAATGCTAGTTAAAAATATAATAGACAAGATATGCGAAAAAGCAGAAAAAAGCAGAAGAGGTGGCAACCCTGATAGAGATCTACCTGATCCTCGGAATATACTGGGCAAAAAAACGATAAGCCGCAAATCTTTATTAAAAGTAGTTTGTGAACAAGAATCTCAATTATGTCATCAATTAAATCAAGTTGTGTTATTCAACTGAACTACATAACTGATTGTATATTCCTACTCTACGGAAAATTTAATATTATTCTCGAATGATTACGTACTTTTTGTCTGACAGGCCGCTTTTCTGCGAATAATCAATGATAATAATCAAGAAGTATCCTCTCACGTTCAGATTGCTTATGTGATACTTGCATGTTTCATATATGATTTTTGAGAAAAGCTTGATTTTGTTTTAGATAACATTCTTCGTTGTTATCATTATATGTTTAAAAAATGACTGAAAATCGTATGATGGTAAACCATACAATAAACACATAGACGGAGATTATAAAAACATTTTTCTGTTTAGTTACAAGCTTTATCTAAAGATGAATTAATTCATATTATTATTAGACAAGAAGAAATAATTACAACAAAAATTGAAGTCGATGAATGGGTAACTAAGTATATACTCAATTTTGGTTCTTTATTCTCAAGTAGCAGGTCTGTTATAACTCATAATTTTGTGAGAGCAATCGTAGATCAAAATGTAATTGTAACATTCTTATTTTTTCTATATGTTAATAATCGAAATATTATAAAGCTAATATTGTTTATTTTGTTTGGCAGAATTCATCAAGCACATTATTACACAAGAGATCAAACACCATAATCAATAATTCTCCTGAAATATCTGTTGGATCGTCGAGTGAATGTTCAAATAATAATAAACAAAAATTAAAATCAAATAGTGAGTATTTGATTTTTTCAAAACTGAATATTTGTTCAATAAACAGAGCACCGTAGTTGAACGGAATTTGTTTCCTTTGTCAAAATTTTGAATATGAAAATTCAGATCAACAAATGGATATCATTGCATTTGGAAAAGTCTCAAAATTTAGTGCTTTAAATACTTTTAAAAGAAACAATCTACATAGGAAATAAGATTAAAAAGATTGAAGTATTTTTCCTTGAATCTACTTAATAATTTAACTATCAATGATATTCATATCTATATTATCTTATGATCTTCTCAAATTGAATTCTTAATCAGATGCTTATAAACGCGTCGACATTGACAAAAGACTGTCACTGATATTCGAATCATTTCAAAATCAGTTTATGAACGACCAGGAATATTGCCTTTCTTTTTCATTTACTATCAGCCTATGCCTCAACTATAAAATGGAGGAAGAAAATATCTGATTGATTTAAGTAAATTCTTATAAGCCAGAACAGATTAAGAGTCCTAATCAGTATGTCAAAAGAAACTAAACAAGGGTCCGTTTCTAGAAGATAGTTTACTTTCTATCTGTTAGAAAATAAAATATTCGCTCATGTCCGTTTTATTCTCATATTGTAATTACCAAATATCGAACGTTTTATTTAATTTAGGTCAGTCGATGCTGGCAACTATTTTAAATGTTGCTTATAAACTGAAGGTTAACATAGAAAAACATGATAAGAAAGATTAATAATGCGGTCTTAATTTGTCATTTGTGTTGCTGCAGGCTCATCTTGTTGTTTTTTGTTAGTCGATGTTAGGACCTGACCTCTATTATTATTTTGTTGTTGTTACTGTTTGTCCACTCATTATATAACACGTCCTCTTTTTTCTTTTTTTGTTGTTGTTTTCTCTCTCTCTTTATTATTAGAATAAAACATTCGGTCAGATATTGCACGTGAAACGAACTCACTGACCTTTATATCTTCTCTTTTATTTTGGTGCGGTATCTTACAGTCGACTTTATTTTGCTGGGTTTTTTTCACTTACCAGTCTAGAAACAATTTGTATCAATGTTACGCTTATAAATACAATTGTTCATTGATATGTTCATGTGGATAGATCAAAAAATAAAGCATTTTTTTAGTCATATCCGAATAATTAAGATAATTAGGAGCTGTTTCTTGCATCTTTCTACAGTATTTTAATTATTTATCAAAGAGTATCTTAAGAATTAACTGATCTTTGATAATTATTTTTTGCTAACGATATGCGTTATATTTGATGGTTCTTTATCTCCGTTTTGACTTCGCATAAAAGTAAGTAGTACATAGAAAAGTATTCATATGTACTGCCTTCGTTTTTAGAAGAAAATGCACTTTGTAATTAAGCTCTTCATCTTTCTCTGAAAGTCTAAAATCACTTGTGCTTTTTAACCGTTCAACTGCGATAGTTTTTCGAGAATTAAACAGCAAATTTTCAGGAGATAAACTCTCAGTAATTTAAACATATTGCTCACATTCTAGAACTTTCAATATCTCCCTTGAAATAGTACTAAATATCCTTTTAGAATATTCCATCTTCGGCGAACTTACGTAATTTTTTGTTGATCTTTTTTTAGTTTTAAAATACAAATTTGTATTAATAAATGCATTAGGTACAATAGCTTTAACCTATTTCATGCATTTGATCGACATACTTCCAAAATGGGTTATATTCATGGTTGCAATAATATTAT